AAAAAAAAAACATTTTTGATGGGCACCCTAATGTATGTTCGTTAAATATTTCGAGCTCGACATCGCCCGGCTGGATATCAAAACCGTGACATTCCAAGATGATAGAACACGGCGTGGTTTGTGGTGAATGCTAATCCGGTACTATTGTCTCGATGGTGATCTTGACGGAACATAGTGTGTGCGACGCAACTCAATCCTGTTGAAAACAAGTTTGTTTCTTGGATCACGTGTATCAATACATTCCATGCCGACATATAAAGACGGTTATATCAGCGATGTTACTCTATTCATTGTAGTTTGGCCGCCGTAGGGGCTTGTCACAATCCGGAGGTAATACATAAGTGATGTTGTTTACCTTGTTGTCTTCTTGAGCATGCCGTCGTAGGAGTCGTTGCCTGATGGTCAGGGGTTAACAGAGTCTCGGGCGTCCATTGCAGTAGCAGAACTAACAAAATGCGAGGTAATCACTTGTTCACTCCAGGTCTGAGACACGAACAGACGTTGAGGTACCAATAGCTTTAGGTTAGTGCTCATGTGAGGTAGAGGAAGGGGAAGAAAGTTGGAAAGGCGGAAAGGCGGAAGTTTTGTTACTCAAGAGAGCCCTGTGGAGCCGTACGGGCTTCTTGCGTGAGTTGTGAGCAGCCGTCGAGTCTTGAGCTATAAGGGACCATACACCGTGTGGTCTATTCCCTGTGTGACCTACAGCTAAATAGAACAGTTCTTGGGAAGTATCTTATCGGGTAAATGCAGCAGTAACAGTGGTTCGGTGTTGAGCCCAATGCCAGTCTGAATAAAAGTGATACGAAGGAACCCTGCTGGAAGGAGTTTCTACAGATACGAACAACGATTGCAAGGGCTCGCCAATCTGAACGGAATTACATCGCCCAAACAACTACCCCTTTTCGGGTAAAACACGAAACGTTGCATTACGTAGAAATGGCTGTCATGGGAATGTATGTGTCATCCGCCCAGAAATATTTCCTACTGAAAACTGAAGAAAAACTACTGCTATCAGTCACTGGTTACACATCAAAGCTATGAGACTCTGCACTCATACACACAAGGTCACTGAAGCCACAACATGTGAAAATGGTGGCATTCCTGTTAGCTCGCTAAATAGCTACTATGTAAGTATTATCGTGATATATACATCGTATCAGCAAGCCAGTCGCATTGTATTTTGCTTATGGCACTGGGCGATTAAACTAAGCATTTCATTGAAAGGCGTGTTTTATTTAACGAGGAATTTAAGCTGTTAGCTTATTTTGTATGTAAGACTTAGCCAACATAACTATATTGTCGAAGTCATCCATACAAAATAAGCTAATGGCTTAAATTTCTCGTCAAATAAAATGCGCCTAACGTAAATGTCAATCAACTTAATGTTGACAACGATATCAGTGCTGCAAGTTAATAAAAGACCACGCGGTGACGTTATTTATTATGAATTTTTGAATGCACAATATTAAATTCAGTTTTTCAGCTAGTCTGCCAAACGTTGCTATCAAACTCAAGTAAAGGTAAGCTCGAAATAAATATATCCTGCTTCTATAGTATCGGACCGAATGGAAGGCACGTAAGTTAAATGGGGGGAGGGGAAAGGGATGAGGTCGTTGATATCGTGAGGGATAGGTTCTTGGTAAATATGAACGTAGCCTGATCCAGTGTGTAGACCTTAGTTGACGTTCTACGTCAACGAATAGTTGAACTCCGTTGACGCCAAACATGGAATGAGAGTTGGTTGAGGTCTTGATTTACTCTGGATAAATATCGCTGATGGCTTGTCTGTTCAGCTTCGGCTCTGGTGGTTGTGCGATATAGGTATGGATATTGTCCATGATTTCATAAAGATGGCTTCTGAAGTTCCTAAAAAGTTGTTCTGCTTCCAGTAAATGTGTTCGGCTGCTCCCTGCGATAGCAAACAATCAGAAACTACTTGCCTAACAAAAAAGTATGGAGGAGTGTTGAGGCTTCGATATGTATATAGGGTTGAGACGACATCAGAAGGCTTTACAAGTCTGTAACTTCGTTTGCTTAACTGCGTTCCACTATTCGCTGGTGATATGAAGACCTTTTTAATGCAATTTTTTAATATAAGGCTGAAAAGATGCCAATCTGAGCGACGCCATATATAGCAAAATAAAGATATTGCTGGCGTATGCAGATGATATCGACATAGTCGGTCTGAAACAAAGAGACGTATACGCATCATTTTCCAGTTTAGAAAACTAAGCTACAGAGGCTGGTCTAGCTGTGAATGAAGGCAAGATAAAGTACTACCACCTGGCAACATATAAAGAGTCGACGCGTTTAGAAACACACTTCACTGTTGGCAGCTATAACTTTGAAGTAGTGAAGGACTTTGTCTTCCTAGCATCCAGCATAAACACCACTAACACCGTCAGCCTGGAGATCAAGCGAAGAAGAACTGTTGCCAACATGTGATACTTCGAGCTCGGTTACCACTTAAAAACAGAGTCCTCTCTCGAAGAACAAAAATTACAGTCTACAAGTCTCTCGTCATGCCCGTTCCTCTATATAGCGCAGAAACGTGGAAGAAGAGAAGGCTTTGGGTGCTTTCGAGAGAACTATTCCACACAAGATCTACGGCCCTATTCACGTGGACGACGGGTATAAGTAAAGATGAGCTCTTTAACGACATGGACATAGTTAAGCGCATAAAAATACAGCGATTTCGTTGGCTTAGATATGTTGTACGCATGGATGATGACGCTCCGGTGACATGATTTTTCGACTCCGCAGCTATGGGTGGGCAACGAAAGCAAGTGCGCCAACGAACAAAATGGAAGGACCAAGTGCAGAAGGACCTGTTTGCACTCGGGATGAGCAACTGGCGCAAATTCCGCACAACAGAGAGGCTATTGGAGATGTTGTTAGGTTCCGGCCCGGAACGACAAATGGTTGTAAAGCCAAATAAGAAGAAGATCAACGCTCTTGCCTTTATTTACAACTGCAGTTGTGTGAACGGAGGAGAATAGCAATGCTATGCAATGTTACTTTTGTAACCATTAAAACTTTCCGTGGAGGTTGATTACTATTTATAGGTTAACTTGGTCCATTTTATTATCTATTAACGACTTTTAAACACAGGTCGCCATATATAGTTCAAACACACGTCATCAATATAATTTATCGACGCCAACAAAGAGCACCTTCTAGCGTATCCCCTGAGACCAAATTATGCTTCGGAATTTGTAAATTGACCAATAGTGAGGAGATGTTGTGAAACCTAGCTTAATTATTCTTACCTTCAAAATCGGATCTCGAAACATTACTGACAACTGTCCACCACATAGGTAATTTGCTGTCCACCGTTTCATTCTCTGTGGTAGGAATATTCTCTAGTAGCGTGAATTGGCCGACGGTGTCGAAAGCTTTCCACAAGCCCAACGCTATCGCTGGCCACCTTCACTCCATCGCTTTTCCGGCATCGAGTGTAGCTTGCTCCACTATTATATTGTAGTGTCTTTCCTTTCAAGCTCTTTTTTGAAATCTACCTCCTCTTCTTCTTGATTGGCGCTGTAATCGCCTAAGTGATTCAGGTCGAGTGCAATAAAGTATACCAGCCATTTCTTTTGTGTGGCTACTGATGCCAATTGGAAATGCCACCTGGTTTCTTTGTCGCAGAGCAGTCCTTCCTATTCTAGCTTATTAACTACAAAAAATATAATTCTGATGAACTTAAAGAGTAGGCATAGTACTTTATCATGAAACGTCGCAGGAATTTTCACATTGAAATTTTTTTCAACAAAAGTGGCAGAACGATGTCTTCTGGTTGAAATTATGGAGTTAAAATATTCTACAAAATAACTCGCTAAGTAATGGTGGAGAAAATTTTGCTGAATTTGATTGAAATCATTAAATGGCAATGGATTACGTTAGAAAAAAACACCATGGCCCTTTTCCAAGATAACTGAAATTTCACGGCCTTTTGCGTGCAGTAAATCAAATTTTACTTTCTCTTATACTATAGTCTTACAGTCTATAAACTACTTCACAGGCGCATAAGTTGCAACCAAAATAAATTTAAATACTATTAGTTTGTGTAGTACTCACATTATATATGCCATAGATGAAAGGATTGTAGCAACTGTTGCTCATCGCCAGCCAATCACAGCAGAACCAAATTATGCTGATGAAGTGATATTCGTTGATTTCCGGTATGGTCACATATAGCATATTGTAAACTTGTAGCGGCAGCCAGCAAATGCCGAATACAATCACAACGACAATCAACATTTTTATGACCTGCCAAATGAAATGCACATGAAAATCAAATATACAAATACTTAATATCTATGCATTTATGCATCTAATGTGAAAGTCAAGCACAGATGTGCTGAGTATATAAGCACTGAATATTCTGGTTTGGTTATTCTATATGCCGCCGTATCTATAAGAATCTGAACATAATTATGAAATAAACCCAAACCAAATAATTTAATTAAGCAAACAGTGATCATTTGCAAATGTTCCTTCGGTTATAATCGAATGTATGTACATATACACACACTTTTGTATGTATGTATATGTAAGTGTGTATGTGCATTAAAGTGTTCCTTAAACTATCAGCATCATGGGACACCACTTTATTTCATTTTATGCGCAAAGTAAAGACATCCGCGAATAGTACACAATTTTTAACAAATTTTTATGAGTCGCTACCAGGGAGTTAAAAAATTTTCATTTTCTAAAAACAACGCAAAAATTAGCCAAAAATTTGCTTTGACCAACTATAACTGAGCAGTTGAACAATTTATATGAAAAAGTTTCAATTATATGTAAAATTCATCAGATTTCAAGACAAAATTTTGTCGAATTTTCTCGTTTAAAAAAATAAACATTTTTCAAACACCTAATTAAATTTTTATTCGTAGATGTTTTCGTGTAGTACGTAGAACAAAATAAAAGGTTGCCTCATACAAAATTTAGTTGTTAATATTTTTTAAGGGCCACCCTAATGTACATACATGTAAGCACTGTGCACGAGACAGCTTAATTAGAGATTAAATTTGCGCTCACAGCAAAACAAGTAGGCAGCAAGTTCATGCAAATGCAAATACATACAGTGACTCAAACAAGTGACCACGTGTTGATTATTTTAAAAAAGGAGGATGGTTATCAACTCTTAGGAAAATATTTTATTTTTTATGTACCTCACAGGTGGCCCCATTCCAATTTGGTCTAAACCCAGCCATTGGATCATGAAGAGATTAATTATAATCTTAAATTTTTATATGGGAATTGAAGTCGGTTTTGTTTTTTGCTGAAAAATTATTTGTTTTGAATATTTTTCTATAAAAATATTGTCCAAGGTTTAACAAAAACCATATAAATAAAGGTTTAAAATTTTGTGTAATATTTAGGAAAATTCAAAAAATGTTCATCAAAATTTCAAACTTTTTAATCTGAACATTTCAAGAACATTTCTGCGTATGCAGTTTTATAGCTCATACAATTTTATGGTGTTTTCTTTTCTACACTCTGAGTACAAATACTAAGAACCGGGCAATGAAAGGGAACACTTTTTTTCAAACCAAAACGCCATTAGTCTAATTGCACATTTTCAATCGGCTGAAAATCGCGTTAGTTTTTAATAATATTTTTTTTTTTGTGATAACTTTTTCTGTTTTTTTTTTTATATAAGGAGTGCAATTTTCAAACACTGGCGTTGATTCTTTAAAATTTTGTTGCGAACGGTTTCCGGCATTTTATTTCATAAGAAATTCATGCTTATATTGAAAAAAGTGCAAAAATCCGTTAGCAAAAAAAAAACAAATATTAAAAATCAACGCAATTTTTTAGCCACTAAAATTTGCACATTATCACACTAAAATTTTATGGGCAACAAAACTGCAGACCCAGAAATGTTCTAAAGAATCAGATTAAAAAATTTAGAATTTTGATGAATTTTCCTAAATTGTGTATAAAGTTTGACACTTTTATTTATAAGAATTTTTTTAAAGCTTTAACAAAATTTTTATAAAAAAATAACAAAAAGAAATTAAGTTAAAAAATCAACACGTGGTCACTTGTTTGAGTCACTGTGTTAACATTAGACTGCCTCACGCTCCATACGAAAACGTCATGAATTTTTTAACTCCAAATCAAATATTTCGATTGAGCTCAGCGTCGCTAAGAAGCTGGCAGGCGTTGAAAATACTGAGATATGAGCGAATTTCCATGGAAATGAATAGAATTTTTACTAAAAAAAAACCCCAATTATAATTTAGCGTATTGATAACTTTAATTTTATTCAAATCGATTATAAAGTAAGATCATTTGTCTAACACCGCGGATATTCAGCTAAAAAAAAAATTTTAAATCATACATAGCACGATTTCTAAAGATATCGTCACCAACGCGCAACCCCGAATGAATCAAGTGGCAGGCAGCATAAATTCGCCAAATTTAATGTGTCACTTGCGGAAGCAGCTGGTTTTTTCGTGAGGCACCCTTATGTTCATACATACATACATCTGCACATACATATGTATGTATGTATCTAATAGAAGCCATAGACATTTCGGCACATTAATTATTCTTGTACTTACTTTCTTCTTATTTCGCATTAATGCCATGTCACGCGTATCCTCCGCATTTCCCGGCGTTCTTGTAAGCCACAGCTTAAGCGCCATCTGTACGTACACGAATGCTATAACGCAGAATGGCACCAAATATTGTACAACCACCAGCACATAGCGATAAACTCTCAACTGTTCATCCGAAAGATTGACATTCATACAGAAGGGGCGAGTAACATTGTAGATGACATTGTCCTCTTATTTGGGCGCATTCAACAAAAAGTTGGAGAAAATAGACAAAACAAAAAGGAGCAAAAAAATGGATTATTAAATATCAGAAGGTAGGGGAAACAAGACTTTGTGCCTATATACATACGAGTACACGAGAAAGTAATAAGCACACATACATACATACATGTACATACATACATCTACTTACCCCTGTAGCGCTCGTACATCAACTCAACACGAAAGGCAATGCCAGAGGGGGTGGCGAAAAAGAGCGCCACCAGCCAAATTCCAAGTATAATGAATTTCGAAAATAGTTTGGAGGGACGTGCTCTGTGGAGGTGGAAAATGAAAATATTTAATGGAAGTATGAAAGCTACATACATATGTATAAACATACATATTTTTTAAAGACTACTAAGTGCTTGTGAGTTTTAAATTTGTATATATTCATACAAAAATTTCGCAAACTATCGGAATGAAAACCGTTGGTGGTAAATTGAAGATTATTTTCACTAAACATACTTTCTTCTAAATCAGAAAGAAAAAGGAAAGCATTTTGTAATTTTTTCTTTATTCACGCAACATTTTATGTAAATAATTTTTCCGATATAAAATACTTAGAAAATTTTAGCGCTTTGACCGAACCCTAAGTATTTTTTGATTTCGAAAAAGAACAGGAGTATATTTTTTCGATACACAGTATATTTTGCTTTGCTGCCTCCATGCTTAAGTGCACATTTAAGATACCTACCCCAAAATGCGCATCAGAGGCATTATTTTTAACATTTATAAGGAAACGGCTCCGATAGATGCATTTAACATACCTACTCATTGGCGATACCTGCCTTAAAAATCGTGCGACTAGTATCAATTATCAAAGAAAGTATTACGTTTACCTGCACTGGCCCTACAATTACCTAATTTTACAACTTTTTATTTATTTTGCTCATCTCGCAGAACAACGAAAATGGCTATAAATTTATGTAGTTATATAGATCATTAGATACCATTCGGTAAAAATTTCGCTTGCAGTAATTTCTACGTAGTAAGTGCTTCTCGATTATTTGGTTTCATAGGGATTCGGATACCTTCCTCATTGACGTAGTAAAGAAAATTCGCTTAAGTGCCTTTTTTGGTTAAGTGCACAAGTTTTTCGTGCAAAGAAGGATGTGCAGCTAAGCAAAATATACTGTATAGCATTGAAATTCGCACTTTAACAATTGGACCTCTCTAATGTACAAACACCAACAAAGCAATATTTATTTAAAATAAATTTTTCATCGAAAATTAGATTCAAATTATGTAGTCTTTGCGCAGTCAAAGGTGATTGATATTTTTGTATCTATTTGGCTTTTACTCATTTCAATTGCTTTCACGAATTGTTTATTAACTTTTCATGTTCATTTGTCTATTTCAAATTGCTGTATAGTAACTACATACATATGTATGTACCTATAAGCAAATCAAAGAAACTTGTTATACTCAGTTTTTGTTTGCATAAAGTTTCACTGCATCACAAACCACCAGTGCACATTCTCAAATTACAATTTAATGCTCTCTTAACAAGTGTATCAAATACAGCATGCACGCAAATGGATGCCAAATACTAGTATGACTCTACGTATGAGCAATAAATATTTATATGGGGCTGTAAGTATGTATTCTCAAAGACTTTAGTAAATTGAGTTTTGTTTGTATGTAATTGCATTTTCAGCTCGAAAGCAGTAATGCATGTAGTAGATACATATGCTATGAATGGTTGTTATTTTTATATTTTTGTAGTATATACTACCCTATATACACATCTTGAAAATATTTAAATTTGTATACTCTCTTATGAAAATTATCTTACCTCAAAGGATTGATGATCGCGCGATGTCGATCGATCGCAATGGCCGTCAAAGTAAACACGGACACATTTACACTCAATGTTTGAACGAAGGGACAAAAGCCGCACATAAACCAAGGTAAATTCCAGCGTTGTAGAAGAGCAGCTTGAAACTGAAAATGGAAATTTATAAACAAAATGTTTCAAGTTGCATTGTTGTACTGATAAGATTCATCATATATGTATGTGAGAGAGTGTTTCAATTAATTACACAGATTTCTGAAGTAAACGGTTAAAACTTTCAAAATTGCATTTAAAGTGCTTTATAGAGGGACATTTTCATAAAAATTTTCCATTTTTATGAATTTTCTATCTAAATTTATATATTTAATGATTGGATAAAAACAGTTTTGTGTAAAAATTGTCTGTTAGTTTAAGTCACGGCGTTTAAAATTCTTCTTTACCCTAAGATTTTCCAGATATCTATAAAAAATCACTTCCGACTAGAGATGCCAGATCGAAATTTAATTTTTGGTTTTGTCTTTTTTTTGTTCTTAGTTACGAAAAAGCATCTGTGAAGTGCATAACGCAATCAAACGGCGAAGAAAGTTTATTCAAGTTCAAAATTTGAGGGCAAAATGACAGAACGGCTACGGGCTAAGTGTGCAGAGATATTTGCAGTTATTGCCTAACTTTGGTTTTGTAGCTCCGGATTCTGAAAAAGCATCTGTGAAGTGCAGAAGAACATAAGCGCATTCTAACAAAAAAATCGGCAACCAAAAATTTGTTTAACGTAATCACATATGTGATTAATATTACCAATTCATTGTTGAAAATATCAACCAAGGCATTGCCAATATTAACCGAAAATCACTTTGGTTCATTTTCAAGTTTGAATTTAGTTAAATATATTAACCAATTTATGGTTGATTTTTTTCTCAGTGTACATTGTTGAGCAATGCGGGCTTTTATTTGTTTAGTTTTATTTTTTTCGCTGATATCCGTATTTCACTTTTTACTTACGCTTTTAAGAAAAAATTTGCTACAAAACTGCATACATACTAAATTTTTTTCTACAAAGAGTAATTTGTCGTTCTAGCTTTTTAAATGGGCAACTGAAATTGTGGCAAATTAAAATACACACTCCTCTAAATTAAAGTAATTTTTTTTTTTTAATAAACACTGGCTGACTCAGCTGGGGTCGTCGGTTCGAATCCCGCTGAAGAAGTCTAATGAGGAAATGTGGTGATTTCCGAAATAGCTATCACTTCTACCATTTTTTCAAATTGTTGTTGCTTTTCCACAATAGTTTTTCATTAAAAAAACAGACTCAAGCTTAATAAAAATTTTTGAATATAATTGTTATAAGGCCACAAATAACAAAATCCAAGAAAAAAAAATTTATTAAGATATTAAAAAAGTATCTCTTATTCATTTCCTAATGGTTAGAGGGCTGAAATAATTTTTTCCAAAAAAAACTTGTATTGATTTGGCCTCTGTGTGTTTGATACACACATACATATATCGCTCATTTGTTTTTAAATTTTTGGTATTTTTTTTTTTTGTACAAAACCTTTAACTGATCTCGGTTGGTTGGTTGGTTAAGTAACTCCAATTAACGCTACTTGCAATTTAACCTGAAAAGAAAGCAGCAGAAGTCTCTTAAATCCAGCATGTGGAGTTCAAGAACTTAAGAAGTTGCAGTGGGTTAATATAACTTATGTTTGTTCAGCCGCAGCAGCAGAGTTCGCCTAGAAGCCTGATTCTAGTACTACATAGTGCTGGCAAATTACAGAGCATTTGCTCCACCCTCTCTTCTGCATCTCGCGAATTACAGCTACGACACGAAGTGTTGTGTTCGAGCACTAGTCTTGCAGCACGGATTCCCATGGCCCAGTTCCCTGTGTAAACGGTAATTAATCGAGATAAATCGCTCCTGTTCAGTGTTATGAGAAATGCGGTGCGTTTTGCACTACAGACTCCTGCAGACCCCACAGGATTGTCGGTCTTTGCACCTGCTATTAGCCACCTTTTGATGACAAAGACCTCTGCCTAAAAAACACTGGCTGAATTCGGTAGTCGAATACACTCTTCGATTTGGAGGTCGGTTGAAAAAATGTCCGCCCCTACGCCACAATCCATTTTTGACTCGTCCATAAAAATGGCTACTTCGAAGTTTTCAGAAAAATAGCCAAAACTGGTCAACATTTTACTTAACTTAATCAGCTGAGCGCAAGTGTGTCTAAGCTATATGTATATGTAACTGAGCCAACAAGTTTAAACAATTAAAGTCGAGTTAAGATTAAAAACGTGGAAAAGCCTGAACGCTTGATTTTTTTTTATTTACTACTCAATTGTCCATATTTAATTTAAAAATGTTAAGTTGTTTTAACTAACCATCAAATATAAGTTCGTTTGTATGTATATGTATATATACAAATAGCAACATAAATTTGAATCATCTAATGTGTGTCCTGCCAAATGTAACTACATTTTACCATCAATCAGAAGCTATTATTACACCTTTCATAAATATTATAGTTAATGCTTTACTATAAATATTATGTTTCAACCTCAGGCGTTTTATTGCAGAACTAAGTTGGAAAAAATGTAACAGGTTTTTGGGCAATAAATAGCATGTATGTATGTATGTATGTATATTCGCTTACATAAATTCGGGCATACACACAATAAAGCGTGCGTATTTGAGCTTTTTTATATTAACTCACGTTCGAAAATAAGGTAAGGTTTTTCTTCAATATTTTTCCACCTTGGAAACAACACAGCCACATCCGACATACCTACAAATTAACCATATTTACCTACACGTGCCCGAGGGTGTGAAAAATGCATGTGAAAAAGTAAAGTCGGAATTTTTATGTCTTCGTCCCCTCGGATGATTCCGTACCGAAAAATATACCCCTTTATTAATTTTAAATCAAAAAATGTTTAGAGGTCGCTCAAAGTTTTCTATGTATTTTATATGGGGGAAAACGACTTTTTGTAAAATGGTATTGAATTCTTGAAAATTAGTATTTTTCGATTGGAAAACACTATTTCTCTTCAGGAGACTTCCAGTAAAAATAAACAATTGTTTATTTAACCATTTTTGTTAGTAAATATTTTTTATAGGTCCCCCAAAAACCCCCAAAAAAAATTCAATGAAGGGACCCATTAAAAATCATTAGTATTAAGCAATCGCAAAATAAGCAACTTTGGTTCTATTCCTTGAAGTCTTTTGAAAAAAAACAGTCTTCCGAAAATATTGATTTTCAAGAATTCCATAACATTTCTGGGAAAAGTTATTTTTTTCTTTTCTCATATAAAAATGGGAAAACTTTGAGCGCTTTGAGCGACCTCTAAATGTTAGTTAATTTCAAAATAAAAAATTCGAGCATATTTTTTTGAAATAGAACAAAATTAAAATTCCGACTTTACATTTGTGGACCACCCTAGTGTACATACACTATCCATATAAGCTATGTGTTTATTAATGTCTCAGCTTAGTGTAAATACGTACCTGAAATGGAATACAGAAAAGTCCAATGATTACGTCGGCAACGGCTAAATTCGCTATATATGTATTGGTAACGGTACGCATTTGTCTCGTTGTAATCACCACCCATATAACCAGCGAGTTGCCAATGACAGCTAAAATACTTATGCTACCATAGAAAATGGAAAGGAGGATGATAATTTCGAGTGGTGCGGAGTAAAGACGTTCTGAAAAGAATGAAAAATAAAATCAGCATGCGATTGCGTTTTGTATTTTAATTATGGATGTATGTTCATGTGAAATGTAAATGTAATCGATCAGAATTTTGAAGTTTTCCTGGAAGTTAGCAATTTAAAAATCTGTTAACTACAGCAGGTTACGACACGTGCTATTCCATTATTTCAGTGGCATCTTTCATTAAAAGAGAAAAAAAAACACAGTTCATTTACTATTTAGTAGATATATATTACGATCACATCGCCAGTTACAAACACTGACATAAGGCCATTAGCCATTCAAATCACATATGAATTCATTCAGCAACCTATTTAGTTGGTAGGATATTTTCTGTATCGCTGTATTTAGCTCGCTAGGTCATTAATCATATAACAGAGCTTACATCACCGCAGTACAAGAAATGCAATTGATATGCCACTAGACCGCGCCCAAATTTGGTGGTTAGGCATTTGTGGTTAGGCGGAAATTACGACACATCTTGTCTCCTAGTTCACCGCCATCAGAGAGTGTATTGCTATACTTTAGCACTTTAGATTCATTTGTGCGCGCACTACGGCGGAGGGAAGGGGACATCGAGATCAAATCGAAATGAAATCGCACTTTTCAATTCAATTCCATGATAGACAAGGTAGCCATATTTGATTCTTTAGTCGGGTAATTCAACCTTTATGTCAATAATTTTGAAAACGGAGATTGACTCATCGATATGAGAGTTAATATTAATATCAGGCACAACATCAAAATATCCACAAATTCTTTTGGTCCTCTGTTCCAAGAACGAAAAACCAAATTGATCACGTTGTAATAGACGGGATAATTGTGCTTCAAGCGCAATTTACGTGCATTCGACAGCTTAATTGCAGCAAAGGTGCGTGGTGCGCCTCTGTGCGTTAAGGAAAGTAGCCAAAAACTTGAAGGGTCGGATGCAACGCGAGTTAGTAGTTTGACTGGCTGATGGTAACTGGGAACGAACTGACACCGAGCAAGTAAGAGCAGCGCTGTCTTCGGCTATGCCGACGGCTTCATACCTTTCGTAAACATATGAAAATTTTACTTTAACAGATTACTGCATTTGAAAAAAATTATATATTCACAGCAAACATAGATATAGGAGATACATAAATATATAAAAAATTATATCTAAACAATCAGAGGTATGGAAGATATACCTTATATAGCACCCATCGAAGTGATTTTAACTGCTGTGTGATCGGTATGTAAACCGGTAATACAATTTAGTGGGGTTAGCTTCCTACATAAAGGAGATATATCGCAAAAACTGGTATCTAAACAATCAGTGGTGTAAGAGATAAAGCTTATACGGCATATATTTTGACGATTTTCTCAGTAGCCTTTGTATTATTATTTATAAAATAGCTTAAGAAATTTATCGATTTTATCTGTCCAAATAAGGAGTTTTACAGTAAAACCCCATATCTGAACAATCAGTTGTATGGAGGCAATATATAGGTTATAGTGACCCGATCTTTGTTAATTTTACTGTAAACTTTCTGTTATTGAGTGAAAATAGTGTGAAATTTCATGTTTCTAGCTGCATAAATGGAGGAACGAAAAATCCTATATCTGAAAAATCAGTTGTATGGAAGCTATAAGTTCTAGTGACCCGATCTTTGTAATTTTCACACTAAGTTTTCTTGTTGATAACACTATGCGCCAGTCAAAATCGGGATGGGATGAAACCAAAGGGAAATGTTATATCGGTCAAAAACAAGTTATACGTGTCCCGGCGTTTCGCTGGGTCACGTCTAGGAATCGAGATATATATATAAATATCATATAGGGGAAATTGTCACCTTTGGTGGTCTTTTTTGACATAACTCGAGAACCACTAGTCCGATTTTACTCAAACAAAAAAAAATTAAAAATTACAACTCCTTTAATCTGTTCATATAACGATTTTCTATATAATCAACAGTTTTGCCGGTAAAAATAAATGTATGAAGAAAAAATATTTTTTTCCTAAAATATTAAGTTTTTTTAAAACTTTTAATTTTTTTAAATTTGTTTGAGCAAAATCGGACGAGTGGTTCTCGAGTTTTGTCAAAAAAAGACCACCAAAGGGACAATTTCCCCTATATGATAGTTATATACATATATATCTCGATTCCTAGACGTGGCCCAGCGAAACGCCGGGACACGTGTAACTTTTTTTTTACCGATATAACTTTCCCCGGTAGTTTGAACCCTTCCCGATCACTGACCCCTACCATTTGTCTCACAGTGTAATGGGTGCAAGTATTGCAAAATTTCATGTTTCTAGCTGCATAAATGAAGAAGTTATAACGAAAAATCACATATCTGAACAATCAGTAGTATGGGAGCTATATGCTATAGTGATCCGATTCTTCCGGTTCCGACAAATGATTAATTAATTATAAAAATACACCCACCTACTAAATTTCATCCGGATATCTCGAAAACTGAGAGACTAGACGCATAGAAACAGACAGACAGACGGACAGACAGAGAGACGGACATAGTTAAATCGACTCAGCTCGACGTTCTGATCATTTAAGTATAAATTTTAATGGGTCTATCTCTTCTCTTTCTGGTACTTACAAACATCGGACCATCGGATGGGCCTCTAGAAAATCACAAATGTTTAAACTTTTTTGATAAAATTACTATATACAATCATAATAAGCTTAGCCATCAGTTCTGCGCCGTCTCAGTCAAACGTAAAGCCTTGGCTTCTAGATGTGCAATAATGGACTATTTTTCTGAGTAGGGTTGCCACCTAATAAAAAGTAAAAAGATTTTCGCCGCTCGTTGGATTACAAAATGAGATATCAAATGAAATGGCCTTCGCCTGTACAAAAACTCTTATTTTTTTAGTAGGGTTGCCACCTATTTAAAAATTACAATCTTCTATACATAGTTTAAAAGAAAGGCGAGATTCTTTGAACACGCTAATCTCACTAAACGAGATTTTTTAAGTATAATCTGTATCGATAGGAATATCATCTTTAGTAGCTTAAGCTACTATAGGGTTGCCAGCTGTCTAAAATATTATTACATCCGCACTGTTCGTTGGATTACAAGAAATGAGGTGTCAAATAAGGGGGCTCGGCATTTAGGATATTCAATAATGGATTACATTTTGAGTAGGGTTGCCACTTTTTAAAAATTTAAAATAAAAGATATTCACCGCTTGTTGGACCAAAAACTGAGGTACCCAGTGAACGGATATGGTCTCTGCATGTGAAATAAGTTTTTATTTTTTGTTTAAGAGGGGTTGCCACCTATTTAAAAATTATGTATATATAATTCGGGAGGGTATTTTTTGTTAATGACTTAAGATTTGCAAAGTTCATTCAATTTAAAAAAATAAACATTAGGTGCCAAATGAAAAGGCTTCGACTTCAGATTTTCAGTAAGGTCTTATTTTTCGAAGGGGTTGCAGCCTGTGCGAAAACTTAAAAAATGTGGGCTTTTCGTTAGATTACAAGTGATGATCTCCTCATCAGACTTCTTCAACCGCGTTAACTGAAATATGAACCAGCGACCGCGAATCACAAAGCCAATGGTCTACCCACTGAGCTAACTTCGCCACTTAAACTTTTGTTGCTTTTATCCACTTTTTTTCATATATAAAATCCAACTACAATCAAGAGCAGCAATAACTTCTACCACAATGTAATTATTGTTGTCAAGCTGAGTAAAATTTTTGTGTATAATATGTAAATTAATAATGTTTAAACTAATTTGGAAATTAATTAATTTTAACTTAAATAAAGTTTCACTGAATCTGCAAATAGCTTCAATTAATTTGAATAAAGTTTCGCCTAATATGAAAAGGATTTAATTTAATTTTAAAATGCTATAATAAAACATCAAATAGAGCGGCACACACGCTTACTTTTGTTTCTCAATATGCAATTAACCAACAATAAATTAAATTGACGCATTAAATAACCACATTTCTGCCAAAAGCAAAATAGCATAGAGTGCAATTATTTCTATATACAAAAAACGGGTGCTAAATGTTCCTGTTTAAAAACATTTGCAAATATGAGCAAATAAGGCAATAAATCATTGAATTTACCAATCGATTACGCAAAAGTGACAAATCGCAGTTATGTGGAGAATTTCTTGCTAACGTAGTCAGAGTTCTTGGCTTGAGTTCGACAACATTTTTTAGTTTTTAGTAATAAATTTATGTTTTTCCTAATTTTTTAAAGGACATTTATAAAAAATTATAATCATTCGCTAAGTCATTAGCCTTCAGTTATTAGTCGTTAGTCATTACTTATAAGCCACTTGTCATTATTCACTAGTTATTTGTCATTAGTTATAAGCTAGTCATAAGTCATTAGTCATCACTCATTCCCTACTCCCCTTTATAAAATCCTGGCCAGATACCAATTCTGTTGCTAACCCAAATGCGTATAGCCTTCTAAAAAAAAAATTTAACATTACCTATTTGTTATTCGAACATAGAAATACTTGCACTTACCAAACTCCTCCTCCTCGAGCACATCATCTTCTGGTATATGCACAACGGGAAACTCATCCATATTTAAGTATGTTAATGTGAAACTTCCTCAATAAAACGATTTCAATATTTAATCCACACAGAGAACGAAAAAACGCACATGAGTCGTATTTTAACCTCGTTTTTGCAATTTGCACATATCTGGAAAGCAATGAATGGAAAATGGTAAGTATAATGCATGAATGAATGAAAATAAGGTAATAAGTACTATATATGTATGTATGTATATATATCGCTGATGGTACATATGTATGTGCATTAGGGTGGTCCAAAAACAGTTAAGTCGGAATTGTAATGCTCTTTAGTAGAAGACTTTCAAAATGAATATCCAATTGTTTATTTAACCATTTTTTAATAAGTAACGATTTGATGAAATGCCGAAAACACAGGTTGTTCTATAATGTGTTCCTTATTTTAAGGGACACTTCTTTATTACCCCTCCTTATATCTTTTCTTTGATCAGTAATCTTTTTGGGCAACTATAAACCACAAATAATTGCTAGTACTGTTAGAGGTAATATTGAACAAAACGTACATGCATAAATATGATTATTAAAGAATATGTCAAAATTGAATATCAGTATATTCCTATGAAAATTAAGATTTTTTGAAAAGTTCTATTTGATTCAGAGTCTTTCATCGAAATGACATATGGTAACGAATGTTGATTTTAAGACATGCTGAGAGATCATTTAAAAGTAGTAAGAGGAGTGCGGAAAGAGTATTTGAAAAAACAAACTGAATTTTAAAGGCCGTTTTCTAGACTGCCTGTTAAAGATAACCGTTGCGTTGACTAGCTGGCGAATTTTTCGCTCACCTACTTATAACAGGCAATCGATGTAAAGTCGATAAAGCATATCGGTCATCAATTTTTAGCAGGCAATCGTGAAAACTGCCGTAAGGACCAGTTTCTCAATATCTGGTTAACACTAATCCTCAGTTAAGCATCGTTGCCAACTTTACCGACACAGCGTTATAAGCAAGGAACGGACTTTATGGAAATTGCCTTTTTTCTGCTGAAGAGATAGAGTATATTCGATTAAGAATGTCCACGATTTAGCTTTCCCTGATTCCATATATACACATTTGATGTTGCCTTATTTTGCCTTTTTTAAGATATTTGCCTTTTTTTGCCTTTTCTACCTTCAAAAAAGTGATTATAGCATTTACAATTTTTTTTTAAGATTAAAAAATATACGCATGCCCATGCGGCTTATAGAAGCGCAGGGACCGCTTGTCAAATTGGTGTTGGAAAAATTCAAAGCCGTTTTCTCAGCTAACGTAGGCTTGGAGACAATAAGGGGTGTGGATAAAATTGTAAAGGGCGAGGAAAGGGCACTTATTCCTGATAATATGAACGTTTCAAACGTTCCATATTTAAATTGGGCTCCACTTGTATCAACTTACGTCGAGCGCACATTTAGTACATTCAAGGTTTTTCTTCGCGAAAATCGAATGAAAATGCTGCCAGAAAACTTCAAAATGCATCTTGTGGTTCAATGTTACTACAACTATACATATTAAAGTTTTATGAGTTAAAAACTCGAAAGGATAAAATAGTCAAAGATTCAAAGTACAAATTTTTCATAATGAAACTAGTTCATAGTTTTTCTCTTTTTACTTGTAATATAAGCATTTCTAAAATAAACATATTTTTTGATTGTTCTTCGTATTTTCTGTCTTTTTTTAGTGCCTTATTTTGCTTTTTTTTGCAATACCTTTTTTTGCCTTTTCCTACCTTATTCGCTATTTTGTTTTGCCTTTTTTATAGGTTTTAGGTCGATGACGATGTTTGAGCGGAGATTAGTGTTAACAAGACATTGAGAATATGGCCCTAAGTCAAATAAGCCAAAAAATATATACACTGCTACTCAGCCGAATAAACTCCATATAACTTTAAACCAGAGCTTCGGAGCAAAGGTTTTTTCAGCGCTCCGCTCTAGCTCCGCTCCTGTATTTAATTTCGCTCCCGCTCCCAATAAAAACTTTGTTTTTATTACTTAGTACATATCGAGTCCTAACGGCCAAAAAATTAGCTGACATTTTATTTTATTTACTTTTTTATGCATAGATATGTACATATGTACAGGTAGTTACTTACATGATCCCCGTACATTTTGTCTTGTAAATGAAATGGCGGATATTAACCCAACCAGCAAAAAATCCGAAAATGGATCCGAAAAAAGGAAAAAAGTGGATGAAATATGGAATTTTTTCCGTTTGCCGATTCCATTTTCGGACACTTTGACGAACCGTTTTTCCACCAAAGTGTGCGGCAGAAAAGTACATTTGTACAGAGAAGAACCAAAAATTGTTACGAAACAGATACGTTTTTGGCTGTTTTTTTGAAATTTTTCTTTCCTTCTGCAGATGATTTTTCATGGTTTGAAAAAAATAAGGAAGCGCAAACTACTGAAATATACATGCTTTCAGCTTGAACAAATAATAAACAATTATTGCTTTCAAATAACATCATCTTTTCCCAACGTTTTCCAAATGCGAAAATTAATGAAAATTGTATTTCCTGAATGCTGGGTATTGTGCAATGAACTGTATTGCCAATTAAAAACAGAATGACAATTTATTTAACATGCTTGTTTTCAGTGGCACAAGCAAAGAGTAAATTAAACTTTCTTTAAGGAGCTAAGGAGCAAATGAATTTTTAACCGACTTCCAAAAAAGGCGGAGGTTATCAGTTCGTCGGAGTATATATATTTTTTTTTTTTATGTATGTTACCGCATTACTTTGGACCACGCCAACCGATATTTCGATAATTCTTTTTGCATCGGAAAGGTAGTGTCTCAGAGGTGGTCCCATACTAATCTGGTTGAGATCCGATCAGTGGATCATGAGATAAGTCGGTGATGAGAAGTCGGTTTTTTTTTGCTAAAAATTACTTGTTGCAACTCTTTTCCCCAGCTCCGCTCCAGCCAAAATCCTCTTAGCTCCTTGCTCCTTTGCTCCGCTCCGCTTTTTCTTGAGGTATAACTTAAAATATAGAAGAAACAGTTGATTTTTCTAAATTGATAAGATAAATTAAATATTGCAATATGGCTGTCAAAAGAAAGAGGTTTCAGAAGGCTCACAGCCGAAAAAGCATTTGGGGAACGGTGCTATCTGTTTGAAAATTTTTATTTATTGTAATTAATAAGATAAACAAGTTTAGGAAAGTTTACTGCCGGGAATATTTTTAAGGAGGGTTGCCACATGTTTGAAAAATTTTATTCATTTAAATTGTTAAAATAAATGAAATATTACAATTTTGGTGTTAAGTTAAAGAGGTTGAAGAAATTTTACTGTCGAAAATATTTTCGAAGCGGTTGCCTATTTGAAAAACTCAATTTAGTTAAATTGATAAGATAAGGTAAATATTGAATTAATACACTTTTGAAGAATGTACGCGATATGTAGACACGAGTTATAAGATTATAAATTATAAATTTCAAGGAGAAGAGTAAGTAGCTACTTTCTAAATTTTTTCGAAAATATACGCATTTATAAAAAATAAAGAATACTTCAAAAATCGAAAATTTGTTTTAAAATCTCCATTCATATTTATAAATAAGCACTTTTAAAGCGCAACGAATCACGCCGGGTACTTGCTAGTAGTTCATAAAATAAGACTTTAAACCCTCTTAGGTATACGTTTTTATATCTTTCTGTTATGATCTTAAATTTTATAAGCTCTTTAGAAAGTAAGAGTTGCAAAAAAGGCACCGCTAGACGAACTACGCTACAATTTTATAATGGTACAAGAGCTGCCAACTTGGCTCAAACCGTGCCATTTTTTCCCTATTTTTTACATCAAATGGCACTTAATTTTTCAACTTGGCACAAAGTGCCAAAATGGCACTTTTGTAAAACAATAATATTTCAATACATTTCTAAACTAAAATTTTGAATAGTGTATACAACTGGTTTATCTTACTTTGGCATTGGTCTTTTGTTTTAGGGATGTGTTTCTAATCTTAATGCTGAATGGGAAGAATTAAAAATAATGTCACCTTTTTGCCACTTTTGTTTATCTATTTGGCACATTTTAGCACTTTTTTATTCTCAATATGGGACTTCAAAGCTTAATACAGTTGGCAGCACTGAATGGTAGATCGTATTTTATTTTTATGAGGGATTCTATAATTTTGTAGAAAGTTATAGCTAGTTTTGATAACCTATTTGCAAAAAAAACATCGATAAATTGTCGTAGAATCATTCTTTTGAAATAGAAAGACATATATGTATAATATAATTAATGATTTTATATTGTTTGACAAAAAAATACTTTGGTAGAAATAAGATCATAAAGCATTTAGTAAAGATAGTTGATTTGTGGCAACCACAGCATATCCTTTTGAATCGTTAATTAATGAACTGTATACAAATACAAAAGACACATGATAAGAAAAGCGCACGACCATTCCAACACAAATAATTCAAACGGCAATCGCGTAATTCCTTTGGTGTTCTTCCACAAAATTGTATACCATATATGAGCCTACATACCTACATATGTGCCTACAAACATACTTAATTAATCAAATCAATGTGGCAGCAGAGTGGCATAGAAGCTATGTGCTTGCCAATTGATTTGGAATCACCCGTAATCATAAGAAGCCAAATAAATACACGTATTCCACATATGTACAGAATGTATGTATGAATAACCGCTTCTGCATGTAAGATGAAACATGCACATTTAGCTGATTAAAATTCTCTTCATACTTACGTATGTCTGAATGAGTCTTTGATTTGTTTACAAATATGTAAGCATGCCCCGTTCACAGATAAATAAATGGTTAAACAAAAACCAAATAAATTAATTGCTAAACTTTAGTGACTAGCTCGTCCTTTACAGGTGTTATGCTTCTATGTATTAATAATAATAATAGATTGGCGCTTACACATATGTTAGTGTTTGGCCGAGCTTCTCCTCCAACTTGTGGCGTGCGCCTTGATATTGTCACACAAAGCGGAGGGACCTACAGTTTTACGCTGTTTTTCATGGCAGAAATACACTCGGAGGT